CCCTCCGCTGGCGGCGGCGGGCATGGCGCCCGGGCCGTTCGCCGGGCCGCAGGCTCAGCAGGCCGCGCGCGAGGTGAACACGGCGTCGCTGTGCCGCATCGGGCAGGAGACGGTGCAGGACATCGTGTACCGCACCATGGAGATCTTCCAGCTGCTCCGGAACATGCAGGTGCGCGGGGCGCCGGCCGGCGGGGCGCCAGCATGCCCGCGGGCGGGGCGCGCGTCTGCTCGCCGCCGGGCGCTGTGGACCTGACTTTCGAACTGCGCGCCCTCGTTCCCTTTCTCCCGGTTCCGGGAATCGAACTCACGACCTTGCGCTTGCCAGGCAAGCGCTTGTACCTCTGAGCTGTATCCCCGGCCCTCCTTTATTTTTTTAAAGTGGGTTTTTTGTTTTTGTTTTTGTTTTTTCCGGCAAAATTTCTCCTGGTGGAGGAGCAAGACCCCAGAACGTGAAGAATTCACATTCTGCCAACAATTTCTTTTTCAAAGGCCCTCTAAAAAAAAAAAAAAAAAAAGTGAAAAGCACTCCTGTTTTCCTGGCAGAGCTGCTGCACGGTGAAGCACGTCCATCTCAAGTTCTGTCAGAGACCAGATAGATCAGATTCAGCATTTTGCGGCTGGATGTCTGATTGTTCCAGCACTGTTCAACTGACCCACGTCAATGTTCCCTTCTCTTACTACTGCAGGATGCGGACGTCGTTCTGTGAAACAATATGTATTAGACAAGATGAGGCCAGACAAACGATGTGTATTATGAAAAGAAATGAACGCAAGTTTATGACCTACATAGAATAAACTAAACTTTCAGAAAAGTAGTATCCATAAAGTAAAAGTAATAGCAGAAAAGGAGTAGACTCCATGTGGACCTATATTTAAAGCTAATTTGTAAGGGACCTGATCGTTACCATGGCCACACCCAGGCGGTGATCGTGCCCCTGACCCCGAAAGCGACCTGGCGTGCTGGGGAGTCTTGCCTCCCCGTGGCCTGGCCCTAAGCCTGCTGTTTTCCGACTGCATAAATTAATTGGCATTGCCTAAGTTTCCTGGGGACGCAGTACAGAGCCCTCTGGGGGAGGTCGGGGTTCTTTCCCTCTGCAGGCTTCCCTGGGTCTTTCCTTTCTCCTGCTGAGCAGCGCTCCCTTGTGCGACCGTCCCCAGCCTGTGCGTCCCTGGATGGACAGTAGGGTGGTGTCGGCTTTGGGGCCCTGAAGGCGGCTGCAAATGTTTCCGTACAAACTTTGTGAACGTGTGTTTAGCAGCAGAGTTGCTGGATTGTATAGAATTTAAGAAATGTCCCTAAAGTGGTTGAAGTGTTTTCGTTTCCATCAGCAATGTTTAAGAATTTTACGGGTATGCCGTTGGCCTCATCAACACTTAGTATTATGTTTGTTTATTTTTTTGCTTTGCGGTTTGTGGCTTGCTTTTTATTCTCTTTACATGTCTAAGGAACAGACTGTTAAAATTGTTTCTTGCTTTCCCCTTTCTTACCTTCCTGCCTCTCTCCTTTCTTCCTTCTTTCTCTTGGGGATTGAACCCAGGACCTTCACAATGAGCTACATACCCATTTTTTTTTTTTTTTTTTTTTTTTTTGGTGAGGCAGGGCCACAACTGACTCACCAAGTTGCCCGGGCTGGAACTTGTAATCCTCCTGCCTCGGTCTCCTCTGCCACCATGCCCCGCTCATTTTTTAGTTTGATGGAAATCTGTTTGGTTGTTCTCTTTCTTTTGGTATCATACCTAAGACACTTTTGCCGAACCCAAAGTGACAAAAGTTTTCTCTTATGTTTTCTTCTAGAAGTCTTGTACTTTCAGTTTTTGCATTTAGGTTTATAACCACATATTAAGTTATGTGTGATAGATCGAATTCATCATTTTGCAGTTGGATGTCTGATTGTTCTAACACCATTCAACTAACCCACGTCAGTGTTTCCTTCTCTTAATACTGCAGGATGTGGACCTCATTCTGTGAAACAATATATATTAGAAAAGATGAGGCCAGGCAAGTGATGTATATTATGAAAAGAAGTGAACGCAAGTTTATGACCTACATAGAATAAACTGTTTGAGAAAAGTAGTATCCATAAAGTAAAAATAATAGCAGAAAAATGGTAGATTCCATGTGGGCCTATATTTAAAGCTAATTTGTAAGGGGCCTGATTGTTATTTGTGTGCCTTTTGCTTTGTGGATTCTGTGGTTTGCTCATCTAAGACCCTTTGGGGCACATGGTAGTTGGCTGAAAAGGCCACAGCAGTGTGTCCTTTTTCCCCAGGAAGCTTGAGAAAGAGGCAGTACGAAGGTGATCTTAACAGCCTTTAATCTGGTTACGAATCGCCTGTGCACGGTCCTCTTGTTCACAGTTTGTTACTCATGGTCAACTGTGGTCCAAATGGATGTTTTGATAGAGACCGCGTTTACCTTTTCTTAGAGTATACTGTGGTATTTGTTCTACTTATTAGTTAGTATTAATCTCTTACTATGCCTAGTTTGTAAATTGAATGTTTCGTAAGTCTTACATGCAGGAAAAAGTATTGTACAGTAAATTAAGGTTTGGTACTGTCCAGGGTTTCAGGTATTCTTGACATTTTAGAGCATCCTCTGAGGAGGAGGACAGACTACTGTACATTTTAAGAGGTATTCAGATTTAAAATCTCCCTCTGTAGTATTAACCCATAAAGGTAAAATAATATCAATATAAACTGCTGAGACTTCTAAGCATGTGATTTAAGGAAGTGGTTATATATCAGGTATCCTTTAGTCTGATGAAAAGTATGGGCTAGTTTCTGGGAAAAATATGTAAGCATATTTTGAAAAGAATTTCAGGGAGTTAAAAGAATTTCTCCCATAATTTTCCTAAGTCCCCCATTAAGATTCTGCAGAAAACTATACTGTTTAAGACTACCTATGAAAAATATCATTGCTTTGGTTCTGTTTATTATCCTTTAAATCTTTTATTTTCAGAGTGTGTAATACATACAGAATTCAGGAATAAAACAGGACATAACTGTGAACATTCCCCTCCCGTTCCTATGCACTGAGCACCTAGGTTTCTCTGCGGGCAATGGTGTTAAGGATTCTTACCACTATTTTGGTGTTTCCTTCCATACATTTTATGCACATTTAAGCAAATGTGCGTGTATATATTTTTTCATTTCCCATGTTGCACATATAGTAGTGTATTATACACATCATGGTTTACTTTTTTCATTTGATATCTTTTGGAGCTTATTCATATTCATACAGAAAATCTTCTTCCTTTTTATAGTGTGTAGTATTCCACTGCATGGCAGTACTGTAGTTTATTAAACCAGTTCTCCAGTGAAAGTCTTTCAGAGATTCTAGGTTCTATGTCAAGTAAGGAAGGTCTTCCCCACTTAAAAATGAGAAGAATTCCCTGGCTTTCAAGTGTGAGGTGTGTCCCTAGCCTTCCTTTATCCAAAAGATGGATTACATCATTTCAGTGTCCCTCTTCAGGTCACTGAATGAGAGGCTGCTTTACACAAATGAGTCTGTCGGGGGGCTGTATTCATCAGCGTTCCATTCCTGTGACCAGCTACCTGCAGAAACAACTGAAAAGGAAGAAGGGTTGATTTGGACTCAGGAGTCAGAGCTTTCATTCACGCTCAGCTGGCTCCGAGGAGCAAACATCATGGCACAGGGAGAGGAGAGCTGCTCACTGCCTGGCATCTGGGAAGCGGAGGGCAGGGGAAGAGCCCAGAATGAGGGATGAGGGGTCAGATCACGTCCCCGGGAGTCACGCAGACACTGCAGTGAGGTTTCCTCATCTGGGTCGTCTCAAGCCGAGCAAGCTGCTGACCACAGTCAGTAGATGTTCTCTTCCACTGTTGTCCAACCCTTTGGCTGGCCTGGGCCACACCTAGTCGCCAGGGATGGTCTTGGGCTGCATACAAAACATAGAATTAACAGATGCAAGTCACACAACTTCCTTTTTAGAATAACTTTTATTAGAATGGGAAAAGAGGGCAGCATAAACTTCCTGATGGGCCCAGGAGGAGGTGTCAGCGCTGCCCCAAGCCTCCACCCCAGTGTCCCCTTGTTGCATGTGCATGTACGGGGCGTGGGCAACTGAGTCACGGAACATATCACCGAAATCACATCTTGTGGGAAGTTTAGGGCCTCGTAGGGCGACGTTGCTAACTGTCCAAGGCTGCATGTGGCCTGTGGGCCGCCAGCAGGACATACCCATATTCTACTTGGCAGAATTGCCTGAGTTACGCAGTAGTGCCCAAATTTCTTATATTTCTTGAGGCTTAGTGACATGTTTACACGTAGCTTTTAGAACTTCCCTGGCTATTCTGATCATTTACTTCTACATTTGTATATGCCAATGTATTTTAAAATCAGTTTTAGTTCTAGTAAAAATCTGTGGGGTTTTTTTTAAGTTCATTCAAGCCACAAAGACTTGATATCATTAATATATTATCTTACTAACCAAGATCATGGAATATCTTTTCATTTTTTATGTTCCTAGAAAGTAAGTACTGTAAATTTTCTTTCTCTTTTTCTTGTTTTGGTTTGATTTTTTGAGATAGGGTCTTGCTATGCAGTTTGGGTGGGCCTTGAACTCACTGCGTAGCCCGGGCTGGCCTGGCCTCACCTCACCGTAATCCTCCTGCCTCAGCCTCCTGAGTGCTGGAATTACAGGCATGAGCCACCACACCCAGCATCAGGTTTTCCTTTTTGACTTGAGAATTTTAATGTTTATCCCTAGATATTTTATTTTTCCATTGGTGTAAATGACATTTTGTTCCTGTTCGTTTTTGTCGGTAAAAGCAAAGTGTGTGCTTTCTGCTGATTTCGTGCTCACCTCTCCATTGTCTGTCATAGTAGCAATTATTACCGGGCTTTCTCGTTAGGGTTCAGCTTTATTTCATACCCCTTGCCCTTTCTTCCCGGGTTGCTTTAGTCGGTGCTTCTAGAACAGTGCTCATTAGCAGTGGTAGTGGCCTCAGGAGATGTCCTTTTGGTTCTGGAACTTAGTGGAGCTGCTGCTGCTGCTTCCGAGTTAGTCAGTGAGGACTACAGCTGAGATAAATGTATTTTCTCACACGGGGGGACTTTCATTGTGTTTCATGCTTGCTTTAAAGTATGAGTGTTGAATTTGGTTGACTGTCTTTTTAGTGACGAGGGCTATGAAGAAGTGTTTATGGCTTTTCATCCATAGACATGAGTGAGGTGATTATTGATGAGCTATTCAGCTGAACAGTGTATATCACTATTGCCTTTGTTTTTTTTTTGATCGCTGGGCATCAAACCCAGCTACACAAATGCTCTGCCCCGCCAGGCAAGCACTCTGCCATCTAGAAATAACTCCAGACCTCCAGGGGTCTTGAGTGCTGTTACCGTGTGTGCTCTGGAGTACGGGGACCACGTCTCTCTCATGTCAGTGCCACCCCATCTTCTAAAACAGGGCCACATTAAAGGTATACAGTAATTGTTGAATAAATTAATTATTCCTTTCTTTGAGAAGCTGATATTAAAAATTAACATCCAAATTTACCAAGTTGCCATATTTGAAGAAGGTGCTTCTTTGCACTTTAAAGGGGTTATGTTTTCCTTAATCATAGGATTTATCAAGAGGTCTTTTGCATGATGTATTCTTCCTAATGAGTTTTTTTGTTTGTTTGTTTTGGTTTGGTTTGGTTTGGTTTTTTTCCAGTACTGGGGATTGAACTCTCGACCTTGCACTTGCCAGGCAGGCGCTGTGCCACTGAGTTAAACCCCCAGCCCCGTATTCTTCCTAACGTATTAAGTATAAATTGGTGAGTCAGATGACTCAAACCACACTTTAGTGTCTGTGTGTATACACTATACTAAATACAGTGATGTAAGTTCGAGTCTTTACTAAGTAGGAAGCATGGGCAAGGTATGGGACTTAGAAAATGACATAATAAAGATTCAGGGGGCTGGACATTTAGTTCAGCGGCACAGCGCCTGCCTGGCAAGCGCAAGGTTGTGAGTTCAATTCCCAGTACTGGAGGAAAAACCAAAAAAAAAAAAAAGATTCAAAGTATTTCTTATACAAGATATAAGTATTATTTTCTTCTGATCACCCAGACAAGAAAGCCAGGATCCATTTAAACTCTGAATCGTCATGTGGAAAGCCATTTTTTCCAGTTCCATTTGTTGAAGAGACTTACCTTTCTTTCAGTGGATGTGTTTGGCTCCTTTGTCAAAGATAAGGTGGTGAGTGTGTTTGGAGTTGCATCTGCATCTTCTGATCTGTTCCACTGGTCCTCAGGTCTGTTTTTCTTTTGTTTTTGTTTTTGTTTTTGCCGATATCATGCTGATTTTATCATAGTAGCTTTGTAGTATAATTTCAGGTCAGGGATTGTGATGGCCCCTAACTTGCCTTTGTTGCCCAGGATTGCTTTTGCTGTTCTAGGTCTCTTCTGGTTCCAAATGAATTTTAGGAATGTTTTCTCTAGTTCTGTGAGGTACACTCATGGTATTTTGATTGGGACTGCATTAAATCCGTATAACAGTTTCAGGATTAGGGCCGTTTTCACAGTGTTAGCTCTTCCTATCCATGAGCAAGGAGTATCTTTCCATTTTCTGATATCCTCTTCGAGCTCCTTTTTCAGAGTACTGTACTTTTCACTGTATAGATCTTTTACTTCTTTGGTTAGATGGATTCCTAAGTATTTCATTTTTTTGGATGCTATTGTGCAGGGCTTGTTTTCCCTAATTTCTCACAGGGAGTTTGTTGTTTGTGTACAGGAATGCTATTGATTTTTGAGTGTTGACTTTGTATCCAGCTACGCTACTGAACTTGGTTATCAAATCTACAAGTCTTTTGTGAAGTTTTTGAGGTTTCCTATGTAGAGTCATCTGCAAATAATGATAATTTAACTTCTTTTGTATCCTTATTCCTCTTATTTCCTGCTCTTGTCTAATTGCTCTAATGTTTGCAGAACTATATTGAATAGGAGTGTGGTGACGCTGGACATCCTTGTCTTGTTCCTGATTTTAGAGTGAAAGCTTTCAGATTTTGACCATTTAGTATGATGTTAACTGTCTGGGCAATATTTCGTGCGTATAATTTATACTTTGGATAAGTACTATGTAGACAACAATATGCAATGTACTAATTATTGTTACTGTCCTCCTAGCCTGTTTTGACACTGGTTTTTTTTTTATTTTTTATCTTTTTGAGATAGGGTCTCACTATGCAGTTTAGCCTGATCTTGAACTCACCTTGTAGCCCAGGCTGGCCTTAAACTCTTGGCAATCCTCCTGCCTCAGCTTCCCAAGTGCTGGGATTACTTACAGATGTGCACCACCGTGCCCAGCTAGGACACTGTTTTATTGTTATTTTTATTTTTTTTCCTTCTTAAAATAAAATAAATAAAAAATTTAAAAAATAAACTCTGAATTGTTAGCTAGTGCTTGGAAAAATTCATGAGCTGAGAATTCATGAGGAGAAATCCTACAGTGTATAATTGGATGAACCCTTGGTGCCATTTCCCCTTTGAAACGGTTGACTAATTCAGTTTTTGGTATTTATCATGTTTCTTTGAGGCACTGTAAAGTATTTATCCTTGTGAATTTTGAACATCCTAGGAATATTTTATCTCAAGTAGTTTCAGTAGATAGCCTTAGTTTATAAATCAGTATGCTTGGAATGGGGAATTTGGAAATGAAAAAAAGTTATTCAAGCCTGTGAACCTAATACATTTTTTGTTAGCTACGTATAGCCTTTTCTAATCTTTTAGTTTTGGGGTCCTGCTTTTGTTCTCCTAACATTATGTTATGTTTTTTTTTTTCCTTTTTCATTTTTGCTTCATCTTTTCTGAAAAAGACAAGAAAGTAAACTGAAGTCTACTGAGTGGACTGATCTTCTAGTTATTAGATAGTAGATAGTGGCTTGATTCTTAATTACCTGATTCTAATCCCCAAGGTAAATATAGAGGTGAACTATAACTATAAACACTCATATACTAGAAAGCATTATAAAGCATTCTACTCTTCATTCAAATATTAAGCTGAGTCTACATTTCAAAGTGTGGGAATAAAATATTATAAATATATACAGAAAAAGGAAGATATTTATTCATAAGTGTCAGCAGTTCACATCAGGTACATGTTTAATTATAAGTTCTAAATAATAGTTTCCATTTACTTGTGATTTTTATCTCATGTCAGTGCATGTTTTTGGCTTTTGAAAAAATTACTGAATAAAAATATCCAGTATCTAGGCTATGATCATTATTAATGATGTTTAAACACAGACTGATTTGTACCTATATTTCTTGTTAATGACTTTTTTCAAGTAAACTGGGTGATGACTTTATACTTTAATGAGTGCTTTGAGGATCTTAATTATAGGCTAAGGTATTTTAGGAATATTTTTGCAACAACAACAGCGTGCTATCCCATTTCTCCTAAAAAAAATTCCAAGCTTCATTTTTATTTAAACTGTATTTTAACTTCCTGCTTCAGCTCAGCAACTTCCTCCTTTCATGTAATAGTAACATTAAAATTACAGCTTCTTTTTAAAAGGTGTACTTCGGCTGGGGATGTAGCTCAGTGGCACAGCCTTGGCCTGACAAGCACAAGGTCCTGAGTTCAATTCCTGGTACCAAAAAAAAAAAAAAGTAATGGTTATACTTTACAAATTAAAGGAGAAAAGGAATTTCAACTATCTGAAGGTCTATTAAAAGTTTTTTAGGGCTTTTTTACAGCAGTGAAACAGTATACAAGTTGCTAATTAATGGGCATGTGTGACTCTTAAAATTCTTTACATATTTATAAAATCGTCCATGTTTGCTCATAAATTCTTAAGATTGAATTTGATTAATTGTGAAGTACAGTCTGCTTTTATGCACTACTTAAAAACTGTTGGCTTTACCTTTAGCAAATCTGAACTTGCATTCTATTTTTATTGTTTTGTTTTGCCTTGTAAGCTGCCAAATGGTGTCACGTACCACACTGGCACGTACCAGGACCGGCTGACAAAGCTGCAGGACCACCTTCGCCAGCTCTCCATCCTCTTCAGGAAGCTGAGATTGGTGTACGACAAATGCAATGAAAACTGCGGAGGAATGGATCCCATTCCTGTGGAGGTGAATTTTCCTGAGAGAGGATGAATGAGTGAATGTAAGATGCGAGGCAGTGTCAAGACATGTGTAGTTTTTTTTCCCTTTTTTCTTTTTCCTATTTTGATAGTATTTCCAGGGTATGTATGTATATATACGTGTGTGTGTGTAGATATAGATATAAATATATAATGTGTGTATATATATGTATATATGTAATTTTTTACTACTCTATTTTCGCATTATTAATTTCTAGACACTTTGACTTCTGGTCTTAGAGTGACTTTTTTGTTGGTGGTGTTGGAGGAGAGGGTTGTCTGTGGCAGTTTGTAGCATGATTATCGATTTCTCTTTTTAATTAAATGTTTGTTCCTTTTTCGTTGTAAGTAGGAGTTCTAATAGCATCATGAAGTACTTTAAAAATGGTTTTCGTGAAAGTGCTTACAGATAAAAGTTTTCTACCATCATTAATTTAGATTGGATTTGTAGCCAGGGGGAATCACTTTATTTTAAATATTTATTCTCTGTTTAATCTTGAATATATCTAATTAACCAGGTAGATGGTATTTTTTGAAAAGCCTCTTCCTATTTACAGTTTAGATCACTGCCACTAAGCACAGCTAGGAAGCTTCGGTCTTCCAGCTCTCTCTGTAAAGAACAGTTTCCTAGGACTAGTGCTTCCTTCTCAAGTGATCAGCTTGTAGGAGGTGGGCAGAGAAAGGTAAACTACAAAAGAGCCTGAAAAGAAGTGGTCAGAGATCGGAGAGAGAGATGAGAAGTGCTGTTGACATTGCCACATGCTGCAGAGAAGTCAGAGAAAGTAAGGACTGAAAACTGTCCATAGGTTTTAGTCCAATAGCGCATCAGTGAAATGGTTGTGGCGTGAAGTCAGAGCGCAGTGGGTTAAAGACGAGAGGAAGTAATGAGCTGGACCTGCAGTTAGATACCAGTCTTTGCAGAAGCAGAGATAAAAATAAGAGAGAAAAGTAGTAGATGGAATGGGGAGTGGGATCACGGGTTGGGGCACGTTTCATCTCTAAAGGAAGAGTTCAGAGTATGTCTGGGGAAAGAAGAAGGTGTAGGGAGAAGCCGAGAGAAGGAGCAACAGACAAGACAGGAGGAGAGAGGAGGAGGAGCCAGCACTGACTGGAGGGAGAGCAGTCCTCCTCAGGAGAGGACACCGCATGGGGGGAGAGGACAGGAAAGAGGGGTGGCGCCCATATTAACTTACCTTCTGCTCGTCGCCAGAATGTGAAGAGGTTGGGCCAGGTGACTCCTGAGTTGGTAGTTACTCATCTCTGGCTTCTCCCTGGGTGACACAGACGATGGTGCCTGGGTGATCCAAATTCTGTCATATTTACGAGTGACCTTCATCACAAACCATACACATTTCATGATACTTCCCCCACAAGTTCCATTACTCTATACATTTTTTGTCCTGGAAAAAACAAACACTCTTACAACTAAAAGAAGTGAAAACATCTAGAAACTAGTGTAGGCGGTAAAGTGTTGGTGGCAAGTTAACGAAACTTACGTAGTGCGCAGCCAGGAGCTTCCTGTCCTTCGGCGTGGCTGAAAGAAAGCCTGTCTCCTTCAGTGGACTCTGAGACTCTCAGGGGCAGGAATACACTGACTTTAATTTTGTAGTATCTTACCCAGTGCCTGGCAATTAAATACTCGCTGATTGGACTAGAAGGGTGTTGTTCAATTGTATATGACAACCACCCTTGTAAAGGATACCTTTGCAGAGGAAACCCAGAAAGTACTGTATAAAAGCACTGAAGTGATTAACTTCTAAACCTGTTGTTTCTGACCATTGCCTGAATTAAAATTTATTTGTATACAGATGGACTCTAGTCCGTCACATTCTCTATTCCAGTCTGTTGAAAGAGTTGGATCGGTAGTGTTGACTTTTACCTTTTGCTCATGACTCCCAGCAACTGATTCCGTATGTGGAGGAAGACGGCTCGAAGAACGATGACCGGACTGGCCCGCTTCGATTCGCTAGCGATGAGAGACGAGAAATCGCCGAAGTAAATAAAGTGAGTTGTTTATCGGTCCCTACGTCTTATACTTCAGATTTCTAGACAAAAATGATGATGGGCTTTAATGTAACTCAAGAGCAAAATTTGAATTATAGATTACATGAAGTTGTTTTTTCCTGACAAACTCAACCTATTCAGCATACAGGGAAGAAAGAAAAGGTAAGCAGAATTCTTCCTGAAAAGTCAGAAGAGAGATCACCGAAATCAGGTGATGAAGCTCCTTGAAGAGCTGCACCGGCATGCTGTCACAAACCATTTCCTTCCCTCCTTTCCCGGCAGAATGCTGCCTTTCTAGCTTACTGCATATTTGGAACAGCAAATGAGAAAAATTTGCAAGTAGGAAATTGAATGTCTCAGCACCTGCATAAGAAATTGAGAGAGTTATCAAAGTGTTATCTTACCCCAGCCTCTTCATTTATTGCTGAATATTTTTAAAAATTCAGAAGTCAGTGTTCAGATAGTTCTCCTGAACGTAAAATAGGGAGAACTGTTAGTTCATTCTGTGACAAAAACATGGCCCAGGTTTACCAAAACCTAACAGAAATAACATAATGAGTAAAAGTACCAAGCTCACTCTTAATTAGAAATGCAAAGCGCCTCAACTGACATTCTTAATTCTCCTTAATAGAATTTATCAATGTATTAACAATCCATCTTGGCTACAGAGAGTTCCCTGAGCTAGATGAGAATAATTGAATTTATAGACATAGTGCAGAATATCATAGTTACATTGGGAAAACATTGTTCTTGGGTGACTAAAAGACATTTGATAGAATTGAGTGCTGGTCGCTGTTTCAAAGAACACTTAAAACAACCAGGAAGATTTTTTAATCTTCATTTCAAATAAACAGCCAACATTTTTCATACAGATGAAATATAGAGGTATTCCTATGAAAAACGGGCATAAAGTATTTTAGTATTTAAATTTTAAAATAAAATTGGTAGTACTTTTTAGAAGTCATAGCCAAAAAGACAACAGACAAATATGTTACTAGGAAATAGGAGTTATGATATTTTTTACAAACCTGTTAAAATGCCCAGAGGGCCTCATCTGATGAAAAGTAGACTCCCATAAAAGGGCTTAACACAAGATTGATAACATGTTTTTATAATGCTATAAACCAGTTAGACTATAAGATATTGTTCACATTTGCAATGAGAAATATTAAGTAGATAGGAATTATGTTAGTGAGATTGTGACTAACCTTACTAAGATATATAATAGAGGTTTTGAGTAATTAAAAGAACATATAAAGCCCTTGAGAGGGCAGTAAACATAAAAATGCCAGTCTTGATTATTTTAATACAGTAACAGTCCAAACCCATCTAGGACTTTTTTGAAAGCAGGCAAAAATAGGAGGATTTTAGTGCAGTAATTAAAAAACAAACCCCAGTAAAATCCAAAGGGGATATTTTTTTCTTGAAGTATAAAAATTTTAGAGAAACTTCTGGTAAATACGAGTAATAAAGCAAAATTATTTGATTCAGAATTTAAAATGTAATACAAGGATTTTATAAAGGCAATAATTAAGCATGTGATATGGGCATAAGTATAGACAGAGTAAAATTACAGTCCATAAAACAGCCTTCCCATGTTCCCAGTATGAGAATTTAATGTGACAGAAGAGGGATCATGTGGAAAATTAGTCTTTAAAAAAATAGAAAATTCGGTGGAAAATTAAACCAGCTTTTTATATTATACCATATGTCAAAATGGGTCTCATAGTGGAAAATAAGACCTGCAAAACAAAATATTGGAAAATTAAAGGAAAAATGTATTTCAAAACACAGAAGAAATGAAAAAGGTGAATAGATTTTATAAAATGAAGTAACTTTCTTACAGAGGTGAAATAGAGATTAGGATCAGTAGTTCCAGCTAATGTGATAATAAATCAGCAACTATTATAACACAGAACTAAGAATTGGAAGTTGGTCAAGAATGAGGAACAGACTGGAAAGTTTTCATTTAGAGCTTGAGAAATAAATGGGGTTTGGAGGTCTGAAGGGTGAGACAGGCATTGCTTCAGCGTTTCCTGTCTGTTGATGACGTGCATGTTAACTCAGGACCTTGTGCTGTCCTGTTAGCTCGGGGTCTGCAGCTGTTCTGATTCAGTTTCAAAGCCACTGGGCTCCGGAGTCCCTAGGGGGGTGGCCAGGGGAGGAGGAACTCAGCCACCTGTTGGCCAGGAGCTCAAGTGCGTGTTTGCGAGGGGTCTGGAGCTCCTGCTCCTGTTCCAGCTGAGCCTCCTGTGTTTGTCGTCATGGTCCCTAAGCGCTGTGAGAGGGTCCCTCTGTCCAGGTCTCCATGGTGGCCAGCCGCGTGCTCAGTGACTTCCTCCTGCACCTCCTGCTTAGTCACTGACCACCATCCTCCTCATCTGAAAATGTACCCTTTGCACCTGCTGTTTCACTGCTGCTCACTTTTCTCTGCAGGGTTTATAACTTGTTTATGCTTCTGCCACTTTGTTTATGCTTTGAGAAAAACAGATACATGTATGTATTTTGGCCACAATACTTCACTGGAAATTTTTTTTTAAAGAGCTTTTCGAGAAACATACCTTCTTTTGAATGGCGCAGGAAGTTCTCATCTCAGGGCCTCAAAGCACTCCCTTTCTTCCTGGAAATTCATAGTCCATATTTTGAGAAAGCACTGGAGAAGTAGGTAGTGAACACACAGAAAAGATAGGAGAAACTTAAATTTCATTCTCAGAAAAGGAAAAAGAGAATAAAATGAACTGCCTAAAAGCAAGCAAAGTGGGTTTTTTAACAGAAAGTAAGTTTTGATTCTTTTTTGATATGAATTGAATGTAACATCAATTTTGATTGGGAACAGAGTAGTTAACACTATTGCTGTACTTTATTATTTCCCTCCAGCTTCTTCAGATTCTGTATCTTCCTTCTAGAATATAGGATTAAAAAAACAAAATTTTTAAAAATATGAAGCTCATAATCACTCACTTTGTAGCCCAGGCTGGTCTCGAACTCACAATGATCCTGCTGCCTCAGCCTCCTGAGTGCTGGGATTACAGGTGTGTGCCACCAGGCCCGGCAATCAGTGCACATTCTTACTATGCAAATAAGTCTTGCTGGTTTGGGGTTTTTTTTCAGTTTAGTAAGTAGGAGAGTTTTAAAGGTGACAGAGTCTTACCCGTCTGTTAGTTTTCTGTTACTGCAGTAAATACCAAAACGTTTGCTTTGGCTCACCGTTTCGGAGTTCTGGTCCTTGGCTCATTGGCTCCATTGCCTTGGACCTGGGGCGTGTAGTGCATCACCACTGCCGTATGGTGCATGTTGGGGGAGACGCCAGAGTGAGAGCGTGGTGCTCCAGGCTGACCGGAAACCTCCCACCGAGGACCCCCCTTCAAGTCTCCACCACCTCCCAGCCAGGCACCGGGCCCTTGGGGGCCTCTCATGCAAGCCACCACAGCTGATACCAAGACAAACACGTTCCGAAATCACTAGGAAGGATTTTGTTTGCTTATTCTATCCATTCTTCTAGGTTTGGAGAAAGTTTTTTGATTTGATTATACCCCACTCTTCCTGAATGTTCAAGTCTGGATGCCGGCTCCGTGCTAGGATCCCCCAAGAAGCAGCCCCATGTGTGGTCCGCTTTGTCCAGGTTCTGGTGATGCGCGGGTGTCTTGCTGGAGAGCACAGGGCTCTCTAATGGGACAGGGCAGCCTCTTCTTCTGTGCCGCCGGTGTGTCCTGACGTGTCTTCACAGCAGCAACAATGCTGCACCACCGTTTAGCTTTCAGGCACTGACATTTGCTCATATCAAGGTGCTTTATGGAACCGTATAATTGGTAATAAGATATATTTTTCACAACCAATTAGAAACATCCAGTCTTCCTATAATGCCAATTTCTTTTTATTCAAAATGAACAAAATAAATAACTTACACCCTTTATCCCCAGTTGGTCATCTTCAGATATCGCTCTGTCCTTGAACTAGTACAGGAGCACGCTGACGTATTCGTCTGTCTGGTTTCCAGTAACGCGCGTGTCACCAGTGCCCGTCGTACTGCCGAGAAACATTGAGGCGTACAATTTCTAGCCAGTATTGGATGTAAACCGTGATTCACATGGCCTCGTGTTAGCAGCTTTTTGGTTTATTTAAATACTTTTTCATTTTTTCTTCACATATCCTGGAATTCTTAATCCCTGAGAGCCAAGAGGTGAATTCTTGTTTCAGACTGCTGGAGGGACATCGGAGTGAGTTTTTGCTTAAGGCTATTCCAGTGATTGGGAAATGAAATTGAAAGAGGTAGTGGGGAACATTTACAGGGTTGACATACAATCAAGCCCTTGCATTTAGAAATCATTTTTGGTCAGGTGTCACAGCCTTTGTGTGAATATTAAATTACACAGTATGACTTAGCATAAACACATTTGGTAAGTACTGTATCTGCTCTGCTTACACGTTCACCTGTTAATGGAACAAATTAGGCACAGCTGACGGATTTTGAAAATAGCAGCTGTCAACCTCTGTTAAAATCAATCAGTGGCAAGAGTGTATATATTAAATCCTATATCATGTCATGAAAATTTATTTACAATTTAACTACTAATAAGCAGAACTGTCAGCTTTGCTGTCGATGTCTTGTGACGTGTTTTGACTCTAGATATTTTTCTTGTATGCTAATTCTTTTAATTTAAAACTTTGTGGCATCTTTGAGAAAAACTGTGCAAGTACCTTAGGTGATACTTTTTTTGAAAAGTTTATTGATTGGATTTCATTGTTATCTCGAACATACTCTTTATCTTTTTGGAATTAGTGAGACTTTAAGGAGGAAGAAAACAAGTATATCAGTTTATATTCCCAAAGAGCATCCTTGAATAGTCTTGTCTTTATGTTTATCCCAGTAATGACAACAACATTGTGGGCTGTCAGAACCCTATTTCATACTGATTATAAAGTCTGCCTTTAGCCACCCAAGAATATAATTTCATTACTTTTGGTTACTCATTTGTTTTTGGTGAAAATGCAGTCCCTGAGCTCATTCACTGGACTTGGCCTTTCAGCGGTTTTCAGCTGTCTCGTAAAACTGCCTCTGTCCTTTTTCATGGGTGCGTGAGAGGTGCCGTAGAGAATCCGTCCCACACAGTCAGCCTTCTCATTGCGCTATAATCGTTTGTACCTCAAGAGTTCGAATGGGTCCCCATCACCCACTCACTGCCATGCCCAAATGCATTCTCCTTCCATTCTTGCTCATTGCCAATTTTGCTAGACCCCAAACAGGTCCTTTTCTTCTTTGCTGCCTTCCTCAGTCAGAAGCAATGACTCTTTTGGAGCTCTACAGCATATGACGTTCTTCCTCTGCCGTCTGCCTTACCAGGTTACAGTCTGTTCCGTTGGGTACTGTCTTCCTCCTGCTTGATTTTGAAAGTCTGAAACTTTCAGGAGTGATCATACTCACTCATTCAAATTAGATTTTTTTTAAAAAGTCAACTCACATGCTTTCTCTTCCTTTTATTCTTGCTCAGTAGCTCTTCTCCATGCTCCTCTTGAAAGTTGGAAATGAGAGGGGAATTGTGGCGGCTGAAGAATTTCACAGCTGGTTGTGAAGGGCCAAAACCTTCGACTGGTAAAGAATAGCCAACGTGGAACCGTGTATTTTGCAGCCATGAATTCACTAAACCAAACTTACTGGTTTTCAGCCACATATCTTGGTAGCTGATTGTCATCTTATGTATGAGCTTACAGAAAAACAGCTGGCAGGGACCTTCAATGCAATAATACCATTTCATAGAATGGAAAACAGAGGAGGAGCATTTGTCCAGGATCAAATAATAAGTTAGAGACAAAGTCAGAACCCTGAGATCGCCAACCTCCCCATATTCGTCTGTGTTGCTGCTACCCTTGGGGGATGGCACAAGTGTTGTTTTCTGGTCTCTCTGATAGAAAAGGCGTTATGGGCTTGGGTCACTCCTCCCCTGTCCAGGTAACGTGGGGCCATTATTTCACATAATGACAGCTGCTTAGCTGCCTACCGCATAGTCACCATGACAGGACTTAGAAGATGGCTCATCTGAAAGCTGATCAGGGAGACTGATCTGTTTTCCCAAAGACTGTGTGAAAGTGAGCCTTAAGCCGAGTGTGGTGGCGTTAAACTATAATCACAGCACTGTGGGAGGCTGACACAGGAAGATCGTGAGTTCGAGCCCAGCCTGGACAACTTAGTGACTTAGCAAGATCCTCTCTGAAAATAATAGTAATGAATTAGTTAGAGATATAGCTCAGTATAGAGGCACTGGGTTCAATCTCTAGTTCAAAATAACTTTTAATTAATGTTGTGAAGATTATTAGTCTCTGTAAATTGCTTTTCTCCTTTTCCTTTTAGTTACCTGTTTCTTGTCTTTGCTAACTCTATTGATAGACACCTTACAAGACTTAGGTATTACATGTTGTACTGCTAAAAATGGATAGTCATATAACAGTATCTAACTGTACATAGAATATAAACAATTTAGTCTCAGTTTGCTTTTGAATAAAATGAAAATTAAGATTTTGAGACCTCTTTGAAGTGAATGTATCCTAGCTTACCTGGAGGTTGTTTAATATAGTATCCTTAAAATAACCTAATACATATCTCCAAATGTCATGTTTCTAAAAGATTTTGAATACTAATGAAGGTTATTATAATATGTAATGAACACTCTAACTAGAAGCTCTCTATTTTTATCTGAACAGATTCTCACCAGATAGGAATATGGCAGTGGTAGAAGCAGATTGCACCTCATACCAGGGGCACAGGGTGACTTCTGCCACATTTTTGAAAGGCCAATTGCATCAGATGTTGTAATTTTATTATACTTTATTCTTTAGATTGATAGTTGATGTTCTGTGTCTACCATTAACATTTGCTTAGATGCCAGGCAATTCATGTGAATCAAATAATTTAATCCCTGTGAGAACTCCTATGTGCTAAGTTCATTTATTACCTGCGTTTTTCTGAGTATGTCCAGTACCATCCATTTATAATTAGAGGCAGCTGAGCGTCTGAACGCCCCAAGAATCTGGCGGATGCATGTGCTCTTAAGCACTTAGTTCTGCCCCTAGGAAGTCCAAATTCTTCTGCTTTGTAGCAATCAAATGTTTAGCTTCTTTTCCTTGATGGTAGAAGAAGAGCAGGAGTAGAGTTGTAGCTGGCGCGTTAGGCTTCTGGGCTGAATCAGTATTCAGAGTGCCCGTCCGGGAGTATTTGAGGCTGAAAAAGCAGGGAGACCTTTTGCTTTACAGGAATATTTAGTTTAATTTCTGTCTGGATCATTTGAGTCCTAACTTAGGACATTTTAATCTTCCAACTCCATGCTCCAGATTTCATGAAACATTTCTGATAGATTCTTTTGTTTCCACAGAAACTCAAACAGAAGAATCAACAGCTGAAGCAAATTATGGATCAATTACGAAATCTCATCTGGGATATAAATGCCATGTTGGCAATGAGGAACTAAGCTGATACTTACATTTCCTGTTCTTTACATGTTATATCATTGTTTTTCCCTCAAGTATTTTTTTTTGCTTTGATAAAGATTATTTATGTACTTTTATTTTAGTCACTAGAACTAAAGTTCCTATTTTTACATTGTAGTTTTACCTTAAAGTATTCATTAACTTTTTTAATGCTGTTGACTCTATGAAAGATTATTGTAATAAGTTTTGATAGCATTTGTGGTTTGATTATCTTCATGAATTGAATAATGACTTTAAAAGCAAAATAAAGCTTTGTAAATAACTTTTTAAATTTGATCAATGGTTTTGCTCATTTCAATTACCCTTTTGGAAGAAAATTAATATATTTTTTACAGATTAAAATATCTACTGTTCATTTGTGGTACACTTAAAATGAAAGATACGTTACCATTTCAACTCAACGTTTTAAATTCAATTTTATTCCCAAACCAGTTAAAAACAAGAAAATAGTTAACTTACATATTGCCATGAAAATTACTTTTATGATCTCCTTCGTTTAAGTCTTTGGTCTTAATTGAGATGATCTGTCTCTGAAACTTAAGAAACATGATTTGCAGACAGGACAGATTAAAGTCATACCTGTGTGCTTATCTGCTATCTGCTTTAGAACAAAAGTAATCTCTTCATTGTTTAGATACATCCTCAAAATAGTCATGAGGGTATTTTGAAAACAGGACCCTTTAAGAGTTTTAAATCAGATTGTTCTCTATGACAGGCGCTCTTCCACTTCACAGAAAGTCCTTTGTAGGGCCACTGATGGGAGCTCGACTTTTCTGGCCTGATCCAGGGTCCTACCTACTATCTTCCTGAGTCAACTGTGAAAACACTGTGTTACTTCTCTTGTATGTGAATACAGTTTCCCTGGAAAGTTACATAAGAAACTGGTAATGGGCATCCTCTGGGGTAGGGAATGGAGTGGCTAAATGTCAGACTTGAGAATACACTGGTTTTTCATTGTATGACCTTCTGTAACTTTTGAATTTTATAGCATGTATAAATACTTCCTATTCAAGGCATCTGAGATGAATAGACACTTTCAGATAAAGAAGAAATGACAAAGATACAAAAAAATGTTCAACATCACTGGTCATTTGAGAGATGCAAGTTAAAACAATGCTGAAATTCCATTTCGGCCCAGAAAGAATGGCTATCATCAAGAAATCAACCAATAAGAAATGCTAGCGGGGCTGTGGAGAAAAAGGAACCCTTCTCTGCTGTTGGTGGGAGCATAGACTGGTGAAACCACTGTGGAAACCAGTGTGGAGATGCTTCAAAAACACTAAAACTAGAGGTTCTATTTGACCCAGCTGTTCCCCATATCTTCCCAAATAATTAAAAGCATCACACCACAATGATATATGTGCACCCATGTTTTATTGAGTGTATTTTGTAATAGCTAGATCTTGGAAACAGCCCAGTCACCCACTACCAGATGACTGGATGAAAAAGATACATTTTGAATGCAATGGAGTAGGTCTGTGCCACACGGAAGGATAAGCTTGACACATTTATAAGTAAGTGGATGGGCCTGGAGACCAAACCCTTAGTAAAGTAAATCAGACACATGTTTAATACCACACAGTTTCTCTGGTGTGAGAAACCAAAAGGGTAAATAAGGAATGGATAATGGATATTGCAAAATAGGAAGAAAATGTTCACATGGGAAGGGGAACTAGGGGTCAGAGGAGAAGGAAGGGAAAAGAACGGAAGGAAAAAAATGGAAACAAAGCTTTTGTAAATAGGGGAAGAGAGGTTGAAGGGCATGGGAAAAGAGAGGAATTGAGATATATCATGTATGGGTACAAATTCCCTACGGTGTCATTATGTATATCTAAAATGTACGTGCAGGGTTTTTACAACTTTGCATTAAAAACACTAAAACTAGAGGTTATCATGTTAATCTATAGCATGGTTACCAGTGGGAACTTAGAGCACTAGTGCTAGGTATTCTTATAGAGTGTTTTGCTGCTGACAACTTCTGTGTCAGAATAAAACATTTTCGCGTAAGGTTTTACTATGTTAACGACCACACTCAGCTTAGACCATTCAGAATGTCACAAATACAACACTTGGAGGGAATGTGGAAACTGCATCCTTTGGGCTTTAAACAAACTCGTCCCAGCGTTTTTGCCGCTTTCAGAAGCAGTTCTGGAAGTCCTCTTTCCTCAGTGTCTTCCATCGCGCCATCATAGCTGTCTTGATGCCCTAAACAGATTCAGAACTTTTACCTTCATGGTCGTTTTGACTTTGAGGAGCAAGAAATGTCATGGTGCCAGGTCCAGTGATGAAGGTCCGTGAGGACACACTGAGATATTTGTATTTAACAAAAGTGCTGTAAACATTTAGAACAAATTCAGGCTGAGGCAACTAGGAGAAGACACAAAAGAGGGATTCTCAGAGGGATTAAGGACAATGTCTCTGTTACTGTAGTAGACTTTTTAAATTTTTAAAGGTTCACGGTATTTTTTAGTTTTTATAGAACCCCCTAATACAAAATTTCAATTTTTTCTGGGGGGCGAGCATGCCAGTAGATTGAAGAGCAAAGAAAAGGGAATTCAATCATAATATGTGACCTTGGGCCACTTAGTTTCCATTTGCTCATTTGTAAAGTGAGCTATGAGATGAGCTGACCACATATTCTAGATTAAAATTTTGCTACAAATGTTAGAAACTCAGTTCAAAATAGATTAAGCTGAAAGGGAGATTTCTTAGTTTTTGTAGTGAGAAATATGATAGAGAAGAACTTAGAGAACCAAAAATAAATTTGCATGAACCAAGGCTTTAGGAATTAAAGAGTCAGTGCCTCTGAAGTTTCATTGGCCTTTTTTTTTTTTTTTGCTTATTTCTGTTCCATTTCCTCTCGTTGGAGACAAACTTTCTCCGAATGGTGGGGAGCATGAAGACCTGCTGCTGTCTTGCTGTTTCTGTATCCTGACCCCAAAGGCTGGGCTACTTCTCCAACTCCAAATTGAGCAGTGCTAGAACAGACTACAACCTTGGGTAGTCCAAAGAACTGATAGCCCAATTGTGTGAGTGGGTGCATTGTTCGACTACGCTAGATCATAAAACACCCTGGATCAGGGATTGTGTAGGGGAGTCTTGAAAAGTGTGCTGTGCAGGGAACAAATATTAGGGGAAAAGGACCAACAAGAAATTTTTCAAGAAAAGCAAACAATGGCAACTGTGGTCTCCTGCTGGGCTTTGTTTGTTAATATTATCTCAGATATAATATCAGTTATCCAGCCTTCCAAAGCCAAAACGCATTCATAGAAAACCGAATGCATCCTTCACTGAGGGGGAAATGACTCATCCTAATTTTTTTCCTTTTGAATTTGTAGAATTTGAATTTGAATTTGAATTTGTCTCTGTTAACGCATTCCTTTGCAGCTGTTTCTTTGCAGCTGTGTATATTAACTGTGGTTTGGTCATGTCAGGTCTTGGCTACTCTGGGTTAAAGCTAAGGAAAAATGAAGGCTAAGGAGAAATAAAAGGAAAACTCAGTATTCTGGTAAGGACATTATCTTTAAAATGATTTGGTAATCCATAGCTTTGATCATGCAATCATTAGATCTCTGGGCACTATGACAAGCCCAAAGGTGTTAACTTGACATTTTGATATAGTTCCACCTTGAGTAATTCATTTTTCTTCCTCTACATTCCCACTGAAGTTGAAGCTAGACAGAGAATTTTTCAGCTCTGAACTAAAATGTGTGCTTATCCTAAGGCCTGAGAATGTTTGTTAGCCTGAAAGTTCAATTTATCTAAAATAACTGGATGACTTCAATGTTTGTCTAATCCTTTACAACACTAGGGTATGAGGACTGCTTTTAAGTATAACTTGAAAATATTCTAGGTGTGTTTTAACATACTAATTTTGAATTATTTCATACATTTTTAAACTAAAAAATTAGACATTGGATTCATTCAATATTTTTACACTTTTACATAGAACTGACACTGTGTGCTGATGTAAGAAATTCATAGATTTTTTTTTTTTAAGTTCCTACTGTTGCCAAGACATAATTGGCTCTCTAAAAACTACTAGAAAATTAGCAGTGCAAGGGTAAGCCTTTTCTTTGTGCATTTAAAATGCCACTGTATTGCAAGACCACCAAAGGGCTTGCTCTTTGTGAAAGTCTCCTCACCCTGTTTTAACTCCTTTAGATACATTTTTGAGGCAGTACCTCCTCAATTAAAGCATGCACAAGAATCCTTGGGTGCGGACATACTGAATCAGAATCTTTAAAGTAGAGCTCAAAAACATTGTACGTTTACCAAATATTCTAGGTGAACTACCACTAGCATGGAAAAATATGTTCTAAGCAGTGTAGTGAGGCTTGCTGCATGTACTTTGATGTGAAAAACTTCAAAAATAGCAATGGTGTTATAAAATATTATGCCATATTTAGGGTTCAGGCATTTGAGTATTTAAAAATTTTATTCTGTACCACCAGTTCTCCACCTTTGCTGCACATTAGAATCCACGGAGGAAGTTAGAATTCCCTGTTCCACAGCCATATCCCAGACCAATTAAATCAGAATTCGGGCGGGAGATCCAGGCGTCAGTGGACTTAAAAACTCCCCAGATGATTCCAAAGTGAAGCCAAGGTGAGAAGCATTTCTCTAAATAAATTTATAGGCATGGAAAAAAACCGTGGGGGATTCCCCCCCCCCAGTAATAGTTAAATATTTGAAGTAAAGAACTTTAAGGGGCCAAAGTCTAAAACTTCTATAAGTATTTTTTAAAGAATAATTTTGGGTATCAAAGGTAAAGACCCTCACCTGTGTTACCCACAATCAAAACTACTAAGGAAAACGTACAAGAGACAGTGCCATAAAGTCAGCAACTTCTACAGGCGAAGGGCACAAAAGGGATTGCAGCATGGTCTTCCATCCTAGTAAGACCGGAAACATCCGAGACGTCACAGAGGTTGGGAAATCAAAGGAAGACGCCTTTCTCTATGTTCCCTGTTTCCTGCTCAACATGGCCACTTCCGGTTTTAGACAAACACTAACCTGTATACATAATTTACTCCTCCAACAGTCATTCACTGATCACTGCAGACTCCAGGCACCATATACTAGGGTCTGGGCATTCAAGATGGGACAGACCTTTCTTCACTCAGTGTTCTCGGAAGAGAAGCCAAGAAGAGATCCATTGATATACACAGGCTCTAAGATAGTCGGGCACTTCACATCCACAAACTGGATGTTCAGCAGGTAACCCAGAAACCCAATGAGCTGCTTTTATTCCATTGAAGCTTATATGGTACCTG